AATTGGGTGGCAATTTCGTGATTACTTACCTAAGGAAGTGGAAGCAAAAGAATCACAAGTTCAAATCTATATTGGTTTCCATTCTCAGAAATCCTGGGAAGTTACGTAGTTTATACTGCTGGAGGTTTAATTCACTTGTGCGTAAGTCTACTCGGAAATACCTTCGTAGATTGGTATCTCGGGTGAGGGAACGGTTCAGATTGAGTATGAGTGCAGATCTTGTGATTAAGGTAAAATTTGACGATAGAATTAAGTTGTCGGAACTAAGGAAGGTGGTGAACGATCGTATCATGGAATGTGATCTCCCTACTTGTTTCAAACGGCGGGCACGTAAGAAGGTTCGTATTGTCTGGACAAAAAAACAGACAGTTGCGGACATTTTGCACAATCATCGGGCTTATGCCGCCCGAGAAGTGCTTACCTACACTTGCGCAGGTTTTCCCCTACCCAGATCGGGAGGGCATGTACGAGTCCGCATGAGTAGCTTGTATGGAAACACACCTCTGGTACATAATGCGAAGAATATTCCGAGATGCCGTGCTAAGAATCGGATCGGTGTAGAGCAAAAAGAAATTGATGATGGTTTTAAAGACTGGTATAACTGCAAGGGAACTGTGTCGACCGTGAATTGCGAATACTTGACTAGTTGTTTCACCGCAGACACTGATGAGGAGCAGAATTACGTGTCGGTTAAGGAGGTTTTGGCAGTAAAGGACGATTTGGATGGCTTGGTCCTCACGCTGTTGTATCGGAACCCGGGTGAGACGCTGATTATGTGCCATTTCACGTACTTCGAAGGGATGATGTCTTACAGGATAGCGTCTGGGAGCGAGACGAACGTGCTGAACATAGCGAGAGAGGATATGGAGACCGCAGGTGTAAAACAGATTGTGAAGAGGGATGTGAAAGGGAGTATAGGACCGGCATATATTATGCCCAAGCACAAGGACTTGGACAGATATAGACCGATCTGTCCGACTTTTAAGGAACCCGCGGTCCGGACGGGACGTTTGGTAGCCAAAGGACTTAACCATTTGCTGTTTTCCATTTCCCGACATTGGCAGTTCAACATGCAAGTTGTGTCACACCTAGCGGATCGCGTGAATCGTATCAATTCTAAGATTAGTTGTCTTCGTCGATATCGCACTGTGTATGGCATGTCGTTTGACATCAAGGAGATGTTCAGTCGTCTCCCTCACCACGAGATCCTACGTGCGTTAAATTGGTTAGTTGCATATCATACTGAGAAAGGTCGGTCTTTCGTACGGGTTAACGGACGTGGAAAGGGTTGTTCCTTTGGTAGAACGACAGGGAGCGATCACTGGCGTCTGCTACGTTTCGACGACTTGGTTAAGTTTGTGAGGTTTGAGTTGAGGCATACTTACACTTTTGGCACAGGGGTTCTTTTGAAACAGGAAATCGACATTCCAATGGGCAAAAGTACTAGCCCGTCGTTGGCGTGTATTATGTGTGCGTATGCCGAATATCGCTTCTTGGCAAGCTTGGGAACGGACCGAAGGCATGTGTTCGGAATCCGCTTAGTTGACGACGTTACTTTGGTCGTATCATCATTACCCGTTGCCAAGGTGTAGAAGATTGTATGCTCCTTTGTATCTGGCTACCCCCCAAACCTTACCTTGAAGAGGACTGATAATGGGACTGGTGCCTTCGATTTCCTTGGTTGCGAGATGAGAATTAACGATCATTTCCCGTATATCGGGTGCCTGCAAATGTCAAAAAACGAGGAGAGTCTCTGGTCAATGGAGATACTGAAATTCCAGACTAGTCAATCCTTCAAGTCATGGGGATGCAAACGGCAAAAGAGCGCCATTGTGAGTACTTACTTGCACAGTATTGACCAGAACACAATAGTTTGGTTGGAGATACCGCTGCGAGTATTGACAGTGAAGAGAGATGAGATTGAAAGGATTTTCTGGGAGTTTTTTCGACCGTATTCTGAAGCGATTTGCTTGGAGATGCGGCGACGTTTGGGAACGTACGTATGAGTTTGTGAAGGGTATCGGTAACTAAGGATGCAGGCGGCGGACCAATCGGTATGGTATACAAGTAGGAGGTGATTGGTTTTGCGACCAGGACTGACAGTAGACGGCTCTGATCTTTATGACACATACTTAGGGGAGTGTGTCTTTTGTTGGTTGTTTGGATTGTAAGAGATGATGTGATTCTAACAGAACGGTAGTAGCGGGTAGGGGTACGTGGGAGGCATGTGTGGATAGGGTTTTTCGAGTGTGCTTTTTCGTTTCCGCGTTATGAGGCTGGACAGGCCTATGTACTGTTTTTTGAGTGTAGGTTCTGCATGAGCCCCAGTTGGTCTGTGTCCAGTAGGTTTCGAACCGCTGACTGTGTGATTCGTGTTTCGAGAACGGGACAAATGGTACCGTGTTTTGTGTTAGTCTGTACCATTGGTCAGACACCTATTGGTCAGACATCTCGGTATTTGGGCAGACACCTATTGGGACCCATTTTCGGGCCGCTGAGTCGGTTCCCTGATTTTGGATTTGTGGGCCGTATTTAGGTGTTGAGTACGTAGAGTTTCGCCCTCACACAGGTCGAACGTGTCCTGTCTACCGGCGCATCCAGATGCGTCCAGGAAAACACGAACGGGAGTGGGTTTGGGGTTCACGTTAGTTAAGGGTCGAAGGTCGGAGGAACCCCCTGAAGAAGACAACGTGGCGGCCGTCGAAACGCAGCGTCGGGGCTGCCATACCTGTGCTTTTGTACATCATTGACGATTCTTATGTACCTGTTCGCATGTGTACGAGGGTGTACTTGTATTTCATGTGTGACTTTGTGATAAATCTATCAACTGCACCCGCACAACCCTTTCCCCCAAAACCCCCTATGCATTACCGCTCATGGCGGTTTACCCATCATTAAGAAAGAAAAAAAAAAAACAAAAAAAAAAACACATTCCACAGCATCCCGTCATTGCCGCAACCATACAACCCTTTCCCCCTAAGGGCCCTAACACCCCGCACATATTGCCGCTCATGGCCGTTC